CCTAATTGCGACGGGGGGCAATCTGCCTTAGCCCCCACTGTTTCCAAACCATTGTCACAATGAGGATGAAGAGGATTTCCATTCTCCGGAATACCCACAAACTACCCGGAACAATAATCTTCCTTCCCTCCTTCCTTTCCTCTCCTCTCCTCCCCTCCCCTCTCTCCGCTTGTTAAACTCCACCGCACTCAATATACATTTCAAACCCGGGTTCCCGCCGTCTATTATCATACATCTAATACACCTCCCCACTGCTCAATGAACCTAGCCATGCTTAGGGGTTATCTTATTCCCTCGACGACAACGGGAAGCCTTCCATTTCCACACACATTTCCTCCCCCAAGTTTCCCTCCACAACCTATAATTCCTGGGCCCTTCCTTTTCCTAGGAATGATTCCATTTCCCCAGCAGGAATACTAAGCAGATTTTACCGCACTCCCTCCTCCCTCACCCAACCCCTCCGCCACTCAACCACTCCTTCGTCCTTCATTTCCACAAATACCTAAGAACCCGGAACTGCGAGACACACCGGCGCCAAGAAATCTCGCAGTATCATTCTCGCAGTCACTGTGTTTGCTCTGTTTGGCTGGAAGGTTGGTTGGCACCATCCCGTGCATATAATAGCAGGAATCTGAAGCTGACGAAAATAGTTTAAGTCTAATAATACATTTACAAGACCAGTATGCGTGAGATGATAGAGTTGGTAATGATAGGATAGGCAATGCACCAGGATGAAGATAGTGCCTAATGAAAAGTACTATGAGGGATGGAACCTAGCTTGGCTTAGTTAGCATATTTAACCAAAACATACAATAATTGATTTTTGCACAAGGCGAATGATCACTCGTGAAGAATTTTTTTTTTTTTTTTAACTGCAAAAGGAGAGATTTCATAGCACATCCCAAAGCTCAGGAATACCTCGTATCCGTCTGCCACCTTAGCGTATACTTGACCAGCGGCCCATAGGAGAAATCCACACGAAGAAGCGACCGCCCACAAGTTTCCATGTCACTCAGTATACCAGAAAAGAAGGACCGCGCCGGCAACACGGATTGATCATCGGGAGCATTTCACCACGACCGAAGGATCCCCCAACGCCCAGATATTTCAGACAATCATGGTATCATAATCCGTATTTTTGCGGGTTCGAACTGACCACACCCCGTGAAGCTCATACCATACCAACCAAAATCTTTCGTCTCCAGTTCGCGATACACCCCCAGTTAATTCCCCTCATGTAACGGCGCGGTGTGAATCGATGTATAAATCTCTACTACCGTCTAGGCAGTGCAGTAATAGCATATGCTTTTTTTTTTTACTAGGTATGTAGGGTACTGTACCGCTTGCGGCCATTTCTTCTTTCTTCTCAATTTGGCTGCTTGGTCGTTCGCTTGCTGGTCGCTTGGAGCTTATTTAAGCAGGCAGGGTTGCGGTGCTTGCTACGTAGCGAATTCTCTTGACGGAGGTGGTGGGTGAGCGGGTGGGCGAGTAGTCTAGGTAGACATGGCCGGTGGCTGGCGTGAAGGATGATGGATCGGACGGATTGGCGGGGATTAGAAATTAGGGACCCCCCCCCCTTTCCCCTTTCGGTTGATTCGAAAGTAAGAGACCGTTCTCTCCGCATGTAGACGTGCGCGCAAAAAACTTGATCTTCCGAGTGATATTTCATGCTCGATATTATTCGTTCAGCTGCCACCATCACACTCTAGTTTGAGAATACCAAACTCTAGCGAGCAACATAATTCAGATATCCGTGCCATCTATCTATATACACGCACACCTCTACACCCATCTCCTGCAACTTACTCTTCCCCCACCCCCTCAATACTCATATCCCTCCCCAGGAGTCCCCTAACACTCAACTCCTCCTTCCTCCACCCCACCTCCCCCTCCTCATGCGCCTTTCTAGCCTCCTCAATCCTCTTCCTAACCTCCTCAATCCGCTTCTTGGCCTTCTCCTCCCCTTCAAACACCTTCTTCATCGCACCTCCGTCTCCCTCCTCCCCATCCACAACACCCTCCATCTTCGCACGCACAACAATCCCCCTCACCCTCCTCTCAATCGCCTCCCTCTCGAATAACTCAGCTTCAAACAGCAAGCGATTAATGGCTCTCCAGTTCTCAAAGCGGAGCTCCCTAACGGCATACCCTGTTGCCGTCCGCGTGAGCGGGTCCTCGCCGGAGGAGACTTTAGATACGGAGTTTGTTAATGCCGCATAGAAGGATTGGAGTTCTGATGGGGGAACGATGTCTGGTGTTGCAAAGTCTATGTCTACGATCCTTTCACGTCGTTTGCTGCCCGGGGCGGTGGTGGAGAAGATAGGGGAGGAGGCAAAGTTGTAGATCCTGCCGGACGAGAAGATGGTGAAGAGGTTTTTTACCTCTGAACGAATTTTTTGGCGTTTAGCTGGGTCGAAGAAGGGGGCCGGTACCGGGGTTGGCTGAGGGGTAGTAGCTCCGGGAGTTGGTTGGGAGTGTGACGGGCCTGCAGTGGAGATAGCGGTGGGAGAAGCGGTGGAAGCATTGCGCATTTGTGATTGCACTTTGTTCATCCTTTCTATGGATTTGCGGTACAATTCGGGTGACATGTCAGACCTGCTGGCTTCTATCTCCTCACGGACGTAGCCTGGCATGTCGAGGTTCAAGCCGCCCTTTTAGCACTATTAGTACATACACACCGTAAGTAAGAGGAGAAAGGGGTCAAGCCTTAATTAGGGCGATGAAGTCTTTAATATCCCACGGTATTTTCAATTCCTCCCGCGCAGCACATAGGTCCTGCCAGCTCCTTTTGAATTGTTCCCGATCCTCCAGTTCTCCAAAGGCGTTGATGACGGTTCTGTAGGTGACCATGTTCGGCACCAAGTTGGCAGCAAGTAGCTCCTTTATACCGCCAAGTACTAGGTCCAGTCTCCGCAACTTCCCGCCCAGCGAGATGATAGTATTAAACGTCCCCTCACTGGGAAAGACCTGCAATTTCCCAAACGCGTATATCAAGTCTCTGATCAATGCCATTGTTGCACCAAACATCTTATCGAATTCTTCCCCTTTACTCTTCGAAGCGTCACTCGGTAGTGATCCAAGGATAGCAAATATGAGAGAATTCAAGTGCTGCGGGAATGGTTTCCCTCCAGCTCCGACGAATGCATATACCAGTCGGATCATAGCCTTCACATCCCGATGCTTCGCCCAAATCTCTTTAAGCAATGGCGTAAGCGTCGCCGGCCTCGGTGGAGTCCCCGCCCGACAAGCCATCAAGAAGACAATATACGCCTCCTTCACCGGCCGCTCGTACAAGAACAGTTCGTATATCCTCGCGGGAGTCAAAGTCGGGTACAGCCTGACGGATATATCAAACCCTTCGTACGCCCCTCTCCAATCACCGTGCAAAATCCTCGCTGTGATAATCCCCTGTAGGAGCATAAGCCTCGTAGCCTTCCCCGTATCCCTCGCAACCTTCGAATCCACCGTCTCAGAGTACCTCTCCAGCGCTTCCGTAAACATTTTCTCCATTTCATCCTGCGCCACGCCCTGATACGTGTAGTTCTCTATGGCAGCGCCGTAGACCCTGGCATCGCAGTGCGTCTCGCCCTGGTCAATCAGCCACTTCCAAAACTCGTTCGCAACATCAAATCGTTCCATGTCTTTCAGGCAGGACATCAAGTGCACGCTGGCGAGCGGATGTCCGGGTATCTCGCCGGATTTCAGGTCGGCGATCAGCTGCTTGATGTGTTTAAAGACTTCTTTTTCGTGAGAGGAGAGTCGATACTCTGTGTGGATCTGGCGGGAGAGATTCGATATGTCGTCCGGGGTCAACACGCCTACATCTCGGAGCGTAGGGTAGGAAGTCATCGCGGAGGAGATCTGAGCGGCGGTTACGTCGCATCGGAAGACAAATAACTGTCTCACGCTTGTTAATACAAGATATCCATTCGCCCCCTCCATCCCATTGGCTCAAGTCAAGCAAACAAACAAACCTCCTGCGAGTAAATAGACCTCAATTCCCCCGCCGACAGCTGAGGTGCAATGGTCTGGTCAAGAGTAGTAGAAGCCCTCCTCCGCGGATTCATAGGAGCATTCCCCCCCCCCTCTTTCCCCCCCCTTCCTTTGCCCTTCCCCTTCACTCTCTTCGCCGAGGCAAAACATCGCACCGGAGTCCTCGTGGTAGCAACCGCGCTTCGTGCCGGAAGCCGAATTCGAACCCGCAGGGCTCGAGAGCATATCGAATTCATCTGTGGTGCTCAAATATCGGTGTGTGTGCGTAGCGGGGGTGGGGGTGGGGGTGGGGTGTTGAGCACTGAGAGGCTCTTCCGTCAATCATGTTCCGGCACTCTTTTTTTTTTTTCACCCTAGTACCTTTGGGTATAGTATGATATCATTGCCGGCAAAAAATGTTTCTGATAAGCCCCCGCCGTCTTGGCAACCCCTGACTGCAGTCACCCATCGATCACTCGAAATCGGTCCATCAGAGTTCTCGATCGGTCCAAGCACGCTGACGAATGCTTTTATTCATCTTCTGTGATATTGGTACAGTATTATACTCTTGTGTTCCATGGGGATTACGGATGGCAATGACGATAATGTGTGCTAACCTGAGCTAAGATTCTGTAAAGTGCCCAATGCAAGAGTAACACATAGTCTAAGCAAGTAAGCAAGTAAGGGTACGACGGGGACTCCCTTGGGATTCCATAATGGTAATACCATCGTTTGCAACTTTTAACCATGCCGGGACATTAACTTTGCACCCTCAGAACAAATGGGATACTTTTTTGATTCACAACCATGGATCATAATGTGTACAGTACCGTACTCGAGTAATTGATAGCCAAAGACATCCCTAAGTATGATAGTCATATATTTCCCGCACATCTTATACCCAAAGCCCGCACATAATTTAACTTTCGCACCAGGTTCAAATATTCGGGTTCATACGGTAAGGTGTGTTGAAGCCCTCTTTTTCTATGGTGATAATTCCTTTGGTGTGTTGCAATCGATGGTATGATATATGATACACGTGTATTTTATAACAAACAATTCCTCAGTGTGAAAGCGTTTTTAAAAAAAGAACCGCTATTGCATGCCACCCAGATCCAAGCAGAGGGTCCAAATTTCGGTGACATGCAGCAGCAGGCCTCTTTGAAAACGCTTCGACATTACGAGTAGAGTAATGCGGTAAGTCATTGCTCGATTGGACCCGTGTTAGCCGATTACCGGTAGTTCGTTCACTGGCATATGGGACGATTCCCCCTCTCCCCGTACCTGTTATATCCACTTATCTCTCTATCCCTCAGCCGCTCCGGATGAGGAAGCAGGGGAGATCACAGTGTCGCTACGTTACCGGTACTCGAGCACAGCATTATGATTGTGATCTCCGCTCTTTGTGGATCTTGCTCATGAGTGCATGGCATATTCGAGCACCACATGCCAAGCTCTGGTCTTATTCTGTCTCTCCCTCTCCATCTTCCTCTGCATGTGTGTGCCGGTATGTGTATCTTTGAAAGCAAGGAAGGTTGATCACGGCACTTGATTCACTGTAATGCTCAGTGTTCGATGGATGGAATAGCAAACTGTTGAGCATAATAATAATGCACACTCATAGTCCACTCTACACTACCCAGTGCAAACGCCACGATCACCACCGGTGACAAATGCATATGCCCGGAATAAAATGGGTAGAAAATCGAGCTGAAATCTCGAGCTTTTGCAGTGGCGGGGGAGACAAGACTTGAAAAGGGATTGGGAAGTTTCATCCCTTCTGATTGTCGAAATTAGACATGCCGACGCCCCGGAGATGCTTGCTGTTTTGCTGGGTCCAGGTGGGTTGTACAAGTAACTCAATTCCTCTCGTTACCCGAGTATGATATGCTGGTGTTAAATTTATTCTACTGGGGGGGGGGGTGAATGTCCGGAAGCGTGGTGTCCCGATCCCGTCTGATTTGGCGATGATAGCCATGGTACTCGAGTACGGTAGTTGTATGATAGCTGTGGTGGGTGAGTGAGATAGTTCATTGCGTTGCACAATGTGCAAAAATGGGTAAATTTAAGGAAGAGAAGGCGAAATCAGTGGCTTAATGGCTTTCTTGGGAATCCTGGTTGGGAAACGACATACGGGCTCGCCTTCCTGTCGAATGATGACGGGATAGATGAGTAGAGTGCCGCAAGGCTAATGAATTGATTGATGGCTTTGGGGAAGAGATGGTGTGTCAGCGCTTACCATATATCGAGTGCTCTTTTATGCTCCCAAGAGTAAGCTCGTTCCCCGAATTGCGGCACCATAATTACGGGCAGATCGTATTTATACAAATTTGTATACTACAGTATAACACTATATAATTTTATAAAATACGTGTCTTGTTTGTCCCATATTGCTATTTTTTTTACAAAATGTGGAAATCAAGTGTAAATGACAGAGCCAAGTAGGAAATGGGAAATATTACTTTCTATTGTAAAGAATTAAGTTACATATACTAATTGCTAACTACTAGTAGTGACTCTGATCAATAGCATTATACTTTCTCTTTTGAATAGCTTGGGTATAATAATTATAACAATTATGATATTGGTCTTTTTAATTGTGTTGAAGAGAGTTACATTGAATATGAAACAGTTCCTGTATTAGAAATTTTTTTTTATATCTTCTGCCTGTACTGTTAATATATCAGACATAATGGATGGACTAAAAGTAGAGTAGAATTTGATTATGTCTGCTTAAACTTAATTATTTGAGACATAACTATCATACAATTTATTAAAATAAATATAATATAATCAAATATTGTAACTAATTTCTAAGTTTAATAATACCTAATCCACATACTTCTAATACAATAATATATAGTAAATACAAAGTGTTTACAAGATCTATAAAGAATTTATAAGACTTATATGTAACATGTTTGCTAAGTGCTAGTTATATTCCAGGTACAATGGGGGTGAAATGTAGTGCTTAGCTGATTTTATATCCCCATTTCTCTGGTTACTTTCTTCTATAATCTTGATGTGAATAGTGTTTCTCGATTTGTAATGATATTTTTCGAAAGACTGTGCAGTTGGAAAAGGTCTTAGAAGAATGTCCATATAAAATCTCGTATATCTAGATTCTTTTTAAATGGAATGAAATGACTCATTTTGGTCAGACAATCTACCACAACTAGGATGCTATCATATCCTGCTGATAGAGGTAGGTCTGTGATGAAATCTATAGTAATTATTTTCCAAGATCGTTCGGAAACCTTGTTTGATTTCAGTAAAATGTAAGGTATGTATTTAGCTGTTTTCATTCGTTGACATATGTGACAATTTTTGATATAACTTTCGACACTTACGAGCAATTCTGACAAGTAGAATGACCTCATAATGAATTTCGTAGTTTTAGCCGTTCCTCTGTATTCCACTATTAGGATATCGTGATGTTGTCATATGATGCTCGTCCTTATTTTTTCTTTTTCCAGAATCCCTTATTTTCTATTGTACCACTTGTTTCTATCCTTCTATTAGTTTAAACCTAGCGCAATCCCTTTCATCTCCTTTTTTCCTTCCTTCAAGACTTCTCTTATTGCTTGAATTGTTTTGTCTTTTTTGTTTACTTTCTCGATTCTTTTTTCCTCAGTTGATGTGAATTCGATAACTTCTCTTACCTCGAAGTAAGCTTTTAGTAATGGTGTCTGTGTTTTCTGTTTGATCCTTTTTTTCTCTTTTATTTGTGGTTTGTCCCTTGCGATTCTTGTAAGAGCATCTGGATTTCCGCTGTCTTTTCTTGGTCGATATTCGATCTTGAAGTTGTACTTACTAAGTTGTTCCATCTATCTTATCTGATGATCATTCAATTTCTTCATGGTCATAAAAGGGACCAGATTCTTGTGATTGGTGAGAACTCAGACCAGATGATCGTTATTCTGGACATATCTTCTCCTTTCTTTCAGAGCTTGAATTATTACTAGTAGTTCCTTGTTGGCAACATTGTAGTTGTATTCCATTGGAGTTATTGGCTTGAATCGATAAGACACTGGCCTCCATTTTTCATCTTCACATTGTTGTGACAGTATCCCAGAGCATATGTATTTGGAGGTGGTCATTTTAATCATTGTCTTTGAGCTTGGGTCGAAATAGACCAATATTAGTACCAATGTCAGATGCATCCTGATAGTATCATATGCTTTCTGTTCTGTTTTTCTCCATTCCTATTTCTTGTCTTTCTTGATTAGGTTATAGAGTGGTTTAGCAAGTCTACTAAATTCTTCAATGAACCTTCGATAAAAGTTGCAGAATTCCGTGAAGTACTGAACATCTGTAATGTTATTTGGTTTGGCCCAGTCCCATATTGCTGCCATTTGGACTGGGTCAATCTTGACTTCACTTCGAATGATGATCAATCCGAGGTATTTAGTTTCTTCCTTAAGGAATTCGCATTTTATTTGTTTAATCTTCATTCCTGATTTTTGTATTGCAGCCATCATATTGCTGACATCCTTCTGATGTTGTTGCATATTTTCCAAATAAAAAAATATATCGTCTATGTATATGATACAACATATATCGTGGTACTTGTTGAGTACCATGTTGATCTATTGTTGGACTGAAGCTAGTACATTAGTTAACCTAAAGAGCATACCCAGGTATTTGAAAATTCCATATCTTGAGATGAATGTGGTTTTCCATTCGTCTATTGCTTTGATTTGAATGTCATAGTATGCATCTTTGATGTTGAGTTTGGTGATGTATTTTGCTGATCATAATTTGCACAATGCTTTTCCAATCAGGGGTAGCAGATACTGATCCTTTTTGGCAACTGAATTGAGTGCTCTGTAGTTGACACAGTCTCATCTTTCCATCTTTCTTCTTGAAGAACAGTATAGAAGATCCTCCTGATATAAAGGAGTCTCTGATCTATTCTCTATTCAGATTTTGTTCGATGTATTTTCTGAGTTCCTCAAGCTCTACTTCTCCCAGAGGGTACAACTTCTTATATGGAATTTCCTGGATTTTTCCCGTCTTGTCATCCTTTTCCAGCTAGATTTTGTGGTCAATTCCAGGTCTTCTAGGTAGTAGCCCAGTAGCTTCCTCTTTCTAG